ATATATATATATATATACACTGTAAGTACAAGTACACGTACACGATGTCATTATCTCGTCTCTCTGGGACTCTGGGACTCTGGGACTCTGGGACTCTGGGACTCTGGGACTTGCTTCCGTGTTCCATCTGTCTCGTATGCCTTATCATTATTTTAATTTGGGTGAGGATGTTTGTGCATTTTTATTACAAAGAAAAATGAGAATGCATGTAAAAACATAATGCTTTGTTGTACTTGTTTTGTGGTATTTTAATTCTCCTGTAGTCTTCTAGTGCTTCTAGTGTTGATTTCTGAAAGACCTGAAAGTTGTCTTATTTTGGTAAAAACACATTGCGATGTTAATAATAATTTTACTTCGCACACCGTCCGTTTCTAACCTCAATTAAAGGGTTTTCCTTTTTTATTTCAATATCTTTTTAAAATGTATAACTGTGAATGTGTATGTGTGTTACTGTGTGTGTGTGTGTGTGTGTGTGTGTGTGTGTGTGTGTGTGTGTGTGTGTGTGAAGTGTGCACATATATATGTTGACCTTGTTTTCACCCTCGTATTCCCGATTCGGCCAGGAAGGGCATTTTTCCATCCTTTGCCCCGGTGGTCCACTGGAAGTCTCCACTGGGAGTCAGCACAGACTCACTAAAAAATTCAAGAAAATGTCCGTGAGATGACAGTGAAATGAGTATCTTCGGGGCGTGTCCTTGAGCGAGCCACACTCTCACCATCGGTAAACCATGTCCCCGCAAGGCAAAAATATGGTCTTACTTTTTCTTGTTCTTTAAAACAAACCCCCCAAGTCAGTAGCATTGTGATATACATCAGCTCCAAGCCTGTGCGATTTGAAGACGATAAGTCACGGAGTGTGGCCCCCTCGGGCCTCCTGCCATAGCCGGGATCTCGTTGTTGAGTACATTCTGACTCTGGGGGAATTTGTACGGCAAAAATAAAATAGGGGCTGAAGGCTTCCCTCTAGTTCCATGTTCATAGAAACTGTCCTCTTTTTAGCACAAAATTGCCATTATTTCTTTTATTGGTATGATTCAGGAATAAGATGTTTTACCGTATGTCTTATGCATGCACGTGTATGAATCGCTCCTTCAAAACAGTTTGTAAGCAAATTGTCATTTTTCTTTTTTTTTTACGTAGATTAAACTCACGAAGATCAATCATGTCTGTGTCTTTGAGGAAACCATTGTGTGTTGGATAAATCTCTGAAACGTTAGATACACTCTCTCAGAATAGTCCTGTCGATCATTTTGTTCGCAATGTTAGCCCCTGTGTACCTGGTTGATCTCCTAAACGGTCATTGTATTTATCGATTAGCTTTGTCCACCCTACGTCCTCGACCCACTTTTTGTATTTGGTGAGGCCAATAATTCCTTCTGAAGTGCACCTGGCTTTTAACGGTTCGCCGTAAAGCTTTCTCTCCGCGACACCTCGCCGTCCGATTGCGTCTGCTGTTTCTTGCTGTACGTTTGTTGTGCTCTGTGTATCATCGGCTTTTAACGTCTCTCCACCGCGGTATGTGAGCCCGTGTGTGTGTGTCTACAGTTTTGTTTTGTTTTGTATGTTTGTATTATATTGTTTTTGTTTCTTGTTTCTGACTGTCTTATGTTTTTGTGTTCTGTGTTTTCAGAAGCCTGTGTGGGTTTGTTGTCTGCTACGGAAAACCACATTCTGGGTTAAAAGCTTTCTATATAAATTGGTAAGAGAAACAACTTTTTAGTGCAGTCTGACCTCTTCAATTTGTTCTACGTGGCCTAGGCAGATTGGAATCTTCTTTTACTAGTCACCAACTTATGCTTGCGTATAGGTACAAATAGATTTGCGTTTTTTGTTTGTTTTTTTGCGTATCCATTGGTTGATGTTACCCCGCCGTTTATGTGTTCTAATCACCTGATTATGAAGGCTAATAAACCATGGCCGGGTATAATAATATACACCGGAAACCGCAAGTGTTTTTGTACGTGGCCTATCGTGCGTGTTGTTTGATTTCGGTGTGGTGCCACGGAGGAGTTGGTTTTCTTTGTTTGGTTTCACTTTGATGCTTGTTTTTGCAGTGACATTTCCGAGTTGTTCTGCACTGTGCCCCGTCGATTTTAGCTATTTAATGTGATATCGAGAGAACTTACTCCGACAAGCTATTCAAGTAATCGTAGTCATTCATGTTTTTTTTAAATCCCGTCGTTTGATCTGTTCAATGTCTTTGCACTGGATATGCTATCAAGTATATTCGGTTCCTTTTGGATTTACCTAAAAATGATAAGAGTTTTGGTCTTTTCCTCTCATGCCATGATTTTTTTCAGTCAAAATTATAGTCGAAATGGCCCTGTATTGCAATTTAATCCGTGGTTAGCGTGAGTTTTGGAATAATGCAAACATCTTTTGTTCATCTGATGTTCACAAGGGTCGGTGGCGAAACCTTACCCATAATGTGCACTATAATTTATGTTCTACAACTTCATATTATGTACCTGTGTCTGCATGTCTGCGTTTTTATGTGCTTTTGGTCATTTGGTGAATGACTAGAGGGCGCCACTGGGATATATCTGATTCATCATTTTTTGATGCGTCTTTGAGCATGTCTCTGGAAGCGGGTGGTTGATGGGTGCTCTGGTGTGGTTTGCTCCTTTTTTCCTATCAAACATCTATCGTCCTTACCTCTCCTCCTTTTTTGTGTCCGTTACTCACTTGTGACACTAAAACTTAAAAGAAACAGTTTTGATTACCAAAACGGTTTAGTTCATTTGTTGCTTTCATGCCAGTATTATTCATATGATTTGAGAAGCACAGCACACAAGGCACGCCTGGCATTAATCAGCCTCTCCCATCTTCCCCAGACCCAAGCGGCGCCGACTCTGGATTTTCGAGCTCTCAGAGTCTCCCTCAGTACACGCCCTCCTCGCCCGCCGCGCCCCAACAGGTGAGTCGGACACATCGTCGGGTACATGTTGTGTGCGCGCACACACACACACTCACACACACACACACACACACACACACACACACACACACACACACACACACACACACACTCACACTCACACACACACACACACACACACACACAAATATATATATATATATACATACACACACCTATACACTTAGTCCCGTACTCACCCACAAACGTACGTACTCACTCGTTTAAACCAACACGCATAATGGAAATAGTTGCTCACCATTTTTTATTTATCCCCCGTCCGCGTCCGTGTGTGTGTGTGTGTGTGTGTGTGTGTGTGTGTGTGTGTGTGTGTGTGTGTGTGTGTGTCGGAGAGAGAGAGAGGGGGGGGGATGAGAGTTTGTGTGTGTGTTTGGAATTTTCATACTTCGTTAGACACTTGGTATGTTGATGCCCACACTAATGGAAGTAACCGCAGGATGTATCTGTATGTACCTTGATGTGTGTGTGTGTGTGTGTGTGTGTGTGTGTGTGTGTGTGTGTGTGTGTGTGTGTGTGTGTGTGTGTGTGTGTGTGTGTGTGAAAAACAATAATGTGTGTGTGTGTGTGTGAGAGAGAGAGAGAGAGAGAGAGAGAGAGAGAGAGAGAGAGAGAGAGAGAGAAACAATGTGAGAGATACAGAAACAGAAAAAAGGGGGGGGGGGGGGGAGATAAATATCAAACGTGTCCTTTTACTGCAGAAAAAAAATAAGGAAAACTCAGAACACGGAACATGTTCACCTACAAAAAAATCTTGTTATTCCTGGCGCCCCTGGTCTTGTCGTAAACACACACGCAATGACCACATACTGTGTGTTTTGGTAACGTGTGCATATTTGTGTAAGAGAACGAGCGACAAGATTTTATAGACGTGAAGAGGAAGTCTGGGCCGTGTGAGTGGGGCTGAGGACTAAGGAGAGAGCAAGGGATTATAAATATTTTAAAATTGTACGGATGTTGTTAAATTATAATTTCATAATTTTTGTTTTAGAAGAACTTGTGGGGTACTGAGTAGAATTGTGTTTTCGCTTGTTTAATATGTATTGCGTCTGTGTTTGTGTGTGTCTGTGTGTGTGTGTGTGTGTGTGTGTGTGTGTGTGTGTGTGTGTGTGTGTGCGTGCGTGCGCGCGCGCTTGTATGCACGAGTCAGTGCCCGGTGGAGGTCAGTGCACACGAATATTTTTTAGAATATGCTCGCGTTCGTCAGAGGAAGGAATTATACAATCGCTCAACCGCCTCCAGCTTTATGCGTCAGAACCCGCTTCCCCTTTTCCTTCTTCTTTCCACCTTTCTTTATTTCCCAAATTTTATAAATATACATGTCGGGCCAACATTTTGTTTTCCACCCTGGAAACAGACTTATCCCCACCCCCACCCCACTCCCCACCGCCCCCACTTCCCCAAACTCCGCCTTACTCACTTTTCAGCTCATGGGAGCGCGTTTCTTGATTCTCGTAATTCCCGGGCATGTTTCGGGGGGAGGGTTCATGTTCCGTGGAAGTGTCAGCAACATGCATTAACCCCCTCCTCCTTGCCGTGTTTTCAACAACAACCTGAACATTATACACGCCTTTTCTGCGCTATTTTCTTCAACCATCTCAGTTAGCACCAGAATTAGATGTGCTTATCCAGATCCTCTTCCTGCAGGGGGATTCTCGTGTAGTGAAAGGGACCAAGTGAATAATAATATAGGTGTACATGTGGAGGTCAGGTCGTAACGTCCTGTTTGAAAACTGGCAAGAATGAGAAGAATGAGTTGGGCAGCGCAATTCTCCAATACTTGGTGATGATACGACGTGGAACAGAAGGGGAAAGAACGGCGGGAATGTAGCCGGCTTCAGCCATTTATTTTTTACGACCGCATTGCTTTTTGTTTGTTTTCAGTTATTTCAAGCAATAAAGCATACGTGAGCTCTGGCATCGTGAGTTATGAGGTAAACGAGCGCTCTCCGTCTTTGTGTGTTGCCAGCCGCCGCTGTCGCCTGACGTCATTTATTTTCTTTCACGTCTATTAGGGAGCTAAATTTGATATATAGTATATAGGTTAGGAGCGTTTTTTTTGCTGAACGTGCGCTGTCACGAGTGTGATTTGCTCTCAAGATATCCTTTGAAGTGCCGATTCTCTTGAGAGTAAATGGTTGTTGAGAAGACTGCTGAAAAGAAACATGTTTCGTTGTTAAATGTCGACTCAGTGCTTTGACAAAGACGTTATTAAAGATATGCTAATCTCCAACCATCTTTTTTTTCTCTCACTCTGTTGTTTCTACGTTATAAAAACTTGGTCAATTTTCATTTTTGTAGCCCAAAAAACTACGTTTTTGTTCTGAAACTTGTGATGAAGGCCCTAGCACACAGTCTTGTTGGGAGCTCTCGTGGCCCAGAGGTTAAGGTGTTCACCTCTCATTCAATAGGTCGCGTTCGAATTCGGATGGCGACGGAAAATGTTCTTCTTTAAAATGGTTTCCTTTCACTTCTTTTCCTACTCTCTAACAATGTTTTGTCGTCTGCTTTCGTCTGCACTTTCTGCCCCCACCCCTCCACATCATTTGTCCCCTCCTCTGGGCTCCTGCCTCATTCTGCAGCATTTCTACTGCTTCTCCTTGGCCCCCTTCTTACTGCTGTCTTTCAGCCACACCCTTATTCTTATGGTAGGTAAGATCTAAACCTAGCCTTCTCGGACAAGGCAAAGGAGCTCACAGGTCCCGTTTGCAAGTTGCGTTCGTTAAAGATCCCTTGGCGGTCCAAAATCGAAAAGAGTAGGCTTCGGCCACCTCCCGAGCAAAATTCAAAATATCCTACCAATTGAAAATGTTAGGTGTGTCCCGCGCGCTCACATGATCGTATGCAGTTGCGAGCGCCATAAAACACTTACCAACAAAATTTTTGAAAATAACAGTCTTGATTCCAGCGTTTTTCGATGGGGCTGTATGTGCGGGTCAGTGATTGTCAGTCTAGATGGGAATCTCTGCTGGCAGTGTCTCGTGTATGGCGGGTGCTTTGTACGTGAGTTATCGCTGGATTAGTGAGGGAACGAGAAAGGGAGGGCGGTGGGGAGATAGCTCGCGATTGGAATGGTAGACTGATCGTCAACGCTTCTGTCCTCAATTGGGTAACTGTTGATGGCTTGGAGCCAAACGCGTCGTTCTTCTCAAATTGTGTGTGTGTGTGTGTGTGTGAGAGAGAGAGAGAGAGAGAGAGAGAGAGAG